GAAGTGGTGTCCGTGTTCGCTTTCTAAGTACACATTTCCCTTTTCTGTGATGTCAACGATCTCGTAGGGTCCAATGTAGGCCTGATCTAGTTTTCCGATCTTGGGTTCCTTTTCTACGTAGACAAATTGCCCTATTTTGAGGTCTATTGGTCTATCGTCTCGGTCGTAAAGGCTTTTGGAATGCAGTTTGGCCTTTTCTAGGTGGTCGAAGGCGAGATGGTGAATTTTCTCCAATTTGTTAATTAGACCTACCATGTCATCGTTGTAAGTATAGATTGGCTCATCTTCGTCGGTGATGTTGGAGGGGAGAATTGTCCTTTTTCCATACAGGACTTCGAATGGTGTGAAATTTGTTGAGCTATGTATCGTGGTGTTGTACGATAGCATGGCGTAGGGGAGTAGCTCGTCCCAGTCAGTGAATTCGTCGGTAAAGTTCTTCAGATATTCGGCTAGTACGTGATGATTTCTCTCAAGGGCTCCATTTGACTGAGGTCTGTATCCAAATATCGTTATATGATGGAATCTCAGGACCTTTCCCAGTTGATTGAACAATTTGCTGAGGAAGCTGGTCCCTTTATCTGAGAGGATTATCTTGGGGCATCCGTACAGGGCTACATACTTGGTTGCTAGTGCATGAGCGATAGTGTGAGCCTTGATATCCTTAAGGGGTACAGCGGTGCAATGCTTGGAGAAGTTATCCTGTATCGTCAAGATATGGCAGTGACTCATACGTGTAGCTGGGAGGGGGCCTACGGTGTCGATAGAAATTCTCTCGAAGCGTTCGCTAGGTGTTTCGGTGATGAGCATGGGCTGTCGGAATTTCACCCTTCGAATCTTTTCTAGTCGACAGGTTCGGCAGAGTTCGATAAATCTCTCTAGTTCCTGTTTCATCCCGGGCCGGTAAAAACTTTCTCTTACTCGGTTGAAGTTTTTCACAATCCCTTTGTATCCTCCGGGAAGAGTTCCATGACATTCCTTAATGATTTCTGGTCTTAGGGCTACTAGAGGCATCCGGATTCCCCCATGGCATAGAGTTACAGTAGCTGGATGGAATTGAAATTCTTTTTCTAGGAAGTATCGTATTCTGATATCGTCGTCTATTTCGTCGCCCTGAGATGCCATTTTTATTTCAGTGATTTTGTATTTTTCCATGGCGGTTTTGAGATTTTTCAGGCAGAGTTTTAGTATCCGGTTGTTTACTTCTTCGAAGTGCCATTGCTTCGCAATCAGGGTAAATGTTCGGAATTTTCCGCACTTCGTGACGATGAGTTGACCTAGTTTTGGATTGAGCTTACGTATTTCCTCCAGGTCTATTAGATTGAGGTCTCTTAAAATTTGGTGTTTTGCTTTTGGATCTCTCCATCTGCTGCGAGAAAATGAGCAATGTTTCCCCTGGTAAATGTTAGTCCATCTCGGGTTTCTTTGATGTTGCTCGCAGGCTGATAGTCACTTTGCGGTATAGTGATCTTGTCGTCCATAGTTTCCTCATTTGGTTTGTTCTGAGATATTTCTTGTTAGTTCTGAGATTTCGTCGGTTGAGTTGATCAGGGGTTTGGACTGGTTTTGCAGCTCAGCCATCTTCTTCTCAAATTCTTGACAGGATTCATTCAATTTTTCTTTAAAGTCTGGACCTAGACTGGTTCTTCTCATTTTGTAGAGTGGTAGCAGCGGCTCTAGGGGTTCCTGGAATATTTCCTCATCTCTTTCCTAGATTTTCTCCATATACTCGTAGAATTTTTCCAGGTTTCGTTCCATTCGTTCCATGTCCAATGGTGGACGTGGTGTGGGGTTTGATTCTTCATCCTTTTCCTCTATTCGAGTTTCCGCTTCGATTATAGAAGGCGTTTCCTCGTCGGTGGAGTTTTGATCTGTGATGAATGCATCATCTTCCAACTTTTCGTCCGTTGGGATTCCTTTAAGGGAAATTTCCAGTTGATCTTCTTTTCCTTGGTCTTCCATTTCGACAGGTATTACTGATGGTTCATCCTGTAGTGGTGGTTCTTCGGACTGAGTAGGTGTGGGAGTTGATTCTGGCATCTTCACGATTGGAGAGGTGGATGGAGTGGGGGTCGTTTCTTCCACTGTTTCTGGTTTGTTTTCAATTGTGGTGCCCCGGGTAGATGATGTGGGGTTTTTGCTGGTTTTGGGTGTCGTTTTATAATCCCGATTCAATCTGTAGGAGATCGGCTGCCAGGTGCCACTGTTTGTTTCTGTTGCTCTTTTAGCCCGAAGCCTGTCGGTAATTCAGCTTCCCGCCGCTGGGATGGGGATAATTTGTGAGTCACTATTCTAACCTTTCGGTTAGGACTTGTGACTGTCCCCGGTGTTTTCACACTAGACTTTGGTACTGGTAGAGCAGACATGCAGGTTGCGAACATGACGATTTCCTCATGTTCGTCCTGAAGAGGATTTTCTGCAAAGGCGTCTGCTAACTGGTTTCTCTTCTGTTTCTTGATTTCTACCTCAAACGTGAAATCATTCAGGCAGGTTTTCCACTTAACTTGCCTCGTAGTAGGGTTGCTAGAATCTCTGAGCCAGTTCAGGGCTGGGCTGTTCGTAATAATGGTGAAGGGTACTCCATAGATGTAGGGTTTGAACTGGTTTAAGGCGTAGACAGCTGCGAGGCACTCCAATTCGACTGAAGTATATCTTGTTTCAGCATCTCGAAGTGCTCTTGATGCGTATAGGATCGGGTGTTCGTCTCCTTCATCAGCTTTTTTGGCTGAGGATGGCTCCAATGCCCTTTTGGGTACTGGAAACATGAACGATAAATGATTCGTTCATGTCAGGATGAAACAGTAGGGAGTCCTCGGTGATGGCTTCCTTGAGGGCTTTGAAGGATTGTTCTTGTTCTTTGGTCCATTTAAATCTCACATTTTTCTTGAGGAGATCATTTACAGGCTGTGCAATTTCTGCGTAGTCCTTCACAAATCGTCGATAATAGTTACTGAAGCCTAAGGATCTCCTTATTCCCTGTTGGCTTGTGGGAAGGGGCATCTCTTTTAATGCCTTTATTTTTGCTGGATCCGGATGAATACCTTGGTCATCGATTATGTGTCCCAGATAGGCTACCTCCTTCATGAAAAATTTGCATTTATCAGACTGGAGAGTAAGTCCGTTTTTCCGCAGGCAGTTGAAGAATTTCCTGAGACGGGTGACGGTTCACCCAGTGTTCTAGAGTAAACAACTACGTCATCTAAGTAGACGTAGAGTTCTGTCCCTTTCAGGCCAGTTAGGGTCTGATCCATCATCCGCTGGAAGATTGGGGGTGAATTTTGCAATCCAAAAGGCATCCTCATGTACTCCTAGTGTCCGCTGGGACCGGTAAAGGCAGTTTTTTCAGCGTCTGTTTCATCCATCGCAATTTGGTGGAATCCACTGGCTAGGTCGAACACACTGAAGTACTTAGCTCCGCCTAGTTGTGAGAGAATTTCCGATATGTTGGGTAACGGATAGGAATCTCCGATCGTTTTCTGATTTAGATGTCGGAAATCGATCACCATTTTCCATCGCTTCTTTCCCTTGGAGTCGGCTTTCTTTGGTACAATCCAGAGGGGTGAGTTGTATGGTGATTCTGAGTGCCTGATGATTTCTTGTTCCAGCAGGTTGTCTATTTGTCGAATTATCTTATTTATTGCCGCTTATGGACAGGTTTATCATCGATGGTTCTGATCTTGCACTGGAAATTCTTAGCTTTGCCAAGCTTGTCTCCCGGAAGGTGGAATATGTCATTGAACTCTTTTACTAGTTCAATCACTTTGCGTTTGAAGGGTTTAAGCTCCTGATCGGGTAGAGCCTCTATTACGTGCGATGTCGAGGTGACAGACCTATATTTTCCTCTGGGGGAATTCCCATATTGCACCAGGCGAAGGTTTCTTGAGGTTTTCCTAATATTTCGATTCTTTCTAGGAGTTCATCGATTTCCTCTACCTTCTGGGGTGGTATGTGGAAGTGAACTGGTTCTTCGGTGGTGTTGATGGCGAAGAGACTGGCTTTCCCCTCTCTAATGCTGACCGCACTCTCGCCTAGATAGATGCCTGGTTTTGTGGAGATCTTTGGTAAATACCCGACCGATAATTCGGTATTCTGGGTAGGGATTTGAATGGCCAGTCTTGCTCTTGGAGGGATGACGGTTGACTCATGGAATTTCTTGTAATTATACCAATTCACTGACAGGTTAGGCCTCTTGAGAGTGGTGATATTCCGTTGCTGATAGCGTATGTCCACCTTTTCTTGAATTAGGAATTTTAACCCAAGTAATCCGCTTCCCTCGACAGGTAGTTTATGATCTACGATGTGAAATGGTACGAGAGAGCCAAACATTTTTAGGTGAACTAAACCGCATGTTGGCAATGCATTCTCCGTTACTCCGAGTAGATAGGGTATCTTGGGAGGTTCAATTCTTACGTCGGGTTTGATGACCCTCTTCTCAATAAGATTGATGTCAGCTCCGGTGTCGATGAGAAATCGATGTCGATTTCCGACGAGGTTCTTCACCTTCAGGTTTATCCTTGGGCCGCCCCCGCTAAGTGCAATCCGGCAAGGTTTTCCTCTCGTTGGACAATTGGGGAGGCAGAAATGTATAGGTTTCAATGGGGCGATGTTGAAGCTAATGTTGTTTGTGTTGAAGGAGATGTGAGCTTTCAACTCATTCAACATTTCATCCCCGATGATGGCTCCATATCCGCCTGGCTGGTGAGGAATCACGTGGAATTTTATTTGAACTTCAGGATGCACCGCGAGGCGAACTACTCCAAGGGAGTTCAGGACGTGATTGGACAACCCAATGATTCCGATTGTTTCTGTGGTATCGATGAGGGAGTTTTCTACCAATGACTGGAACGATATCAGGTTTATGGAAGCTCCGGGATCGATTAATGCATTCACACCTGGGGAGATGACATTTGGTCCTCGAAAGATGATCTAAGGACCCCCGGTAACTCTACACAGTATGGGTTTTACTGTCTGGGATGCATGCTCGACATCATGTGGAGTGAGTGCTAGTTTTGGCCGCTCGTCATCGCACTCAATTGGCGAGCAACAATCTCGTTTAAAGTCTCCTTTGGAATGGTTCCATCTGTGGATGAGCTGGCTCTGTTCTGCTGAGTTCTCGTAGGACTCCACAGGGTATTTCTCCCTTCTCGTTCACTTGAGAGAGGCCTAGAGAGTGGTCTGGAGTCTGACGATGGACGATTCTGAGTCTGCAGGTTATTCAAACTTATCACAAGCTGTTGGAGTGAGGCTGTGGTCTGCTGCAACATACTTTTGATCTCGTCCATATCAGAAAGGTTCTGTTTAGGTTTGAATGGGGCTGCATGAGGACGTTGGTTGGCTGCCAGGATGTTAGCGAGGGCTAGAATCTGATCCGTGGTTGGGTTTTCCGCAGTTCCCGTTGGTTCCTCATAGTCAGATTCATCCTCGTCGTTCGGAGTTTGACCGTAGGCGATGACGGAGTTGAAGCTGCGCGAAGGGGGGTCACCAGGATGAGCTGTGTATCCTGGTATAGATGGAGGTGGCCCCGGTGGTCGAGGTGGTGTTTGTCTGTACCCGTTGCCTTGCCTGTTCCGGTTGGATGGCAGATATTCATTGAGGAGAGCGGTGACTAGATCTCGTAAAGGATCCTGATTTCTTCTCTGTCCGGAATAGTTTCGGTGACCGTAGCTTGACGATGGTGTCGGGGTATTTGACTGATTATATGGCTGACTGTACGACCGATTTTGTTGGTATTGGTATCTCGGCTGAGGTGGCATTTGTTCCCCGTACAGTTCGGACGGTAGAGAGCTCCCTGAATGGATTGGAATCGAGGGGTACTCCGTGATGTACCTGTAGTGCCCGTTATCAGCAATCTCCAACGCTGGTACTTTGACTGTATCCCGGAATCGTCTGCTTCTAGTTTTGTAGGGATCTCTGAGACTTTACTTAGGTTCTTGCGCATAATACTTTCCTTTACGCTTGCCGGGGCGTATTCTTTAAACCATTTAATGGCCTCTGTCTGGAGGTGTTTTTCGAGGACTTGTTTTCAGCTTCATTTTCCCCAGAAATCGTACCCAGACCGAACTGGAACAGTGCCAATCGCTCCAAGAATGATTCCAGGGGTTCATTTTTAATTTTCAACAGCCCGCGTATTCTATTCACATAATACGTAAGTCGTATTGACCTCTAAATCTCTTGTTTAGGTGAGTAAGAATAGTTTCTACAGAAAAGAGGGGTTTGTTCGCCACTACGAATTTCGCTAGGGGTAAAAGGCGTTTGAGTATTTGTCTAATATATTCTTCTTTCTTTCCGTCTGCTTTAGGAATGGAGGCAAGATTTGATCTCAACGCGTACTCAAATTCGTCCAGAGAGCAGTGCTCATTTGTACCGGAGAATATGGGAATGCTGTTTGCAATGTTTCGGGCTTTGACATATTCTTCATAACTGGACACGGTTTGATCAGCGTCACCCGAGTCTCCGGAGTAACTGATATTAACGAAGGACGGATTCGCCATTTTGTGGAGATAATTTAATTAGTTGATAATTTGAATAATTTTATATTTGGGATTAAGTTAATTTGGATTAAGATTCTATGTGATTTTTCCAATAAAATTGGGAAAAGAAAACAAAATTTCGCTTAGAATTATTTCAAAGAGAATTAGAATTTTGCAAAGAAAAGTCTACAAAGGATCTAAGAAGGGTTTCCCAAAGCTAAAATTTTAATTGATTAGAATTGAATTGAATTAAATTGACTAGAATGGGTTTCAAAAATTTCAGAATATTTAAAAGATAAGAGTATTGGAAACTTAGGCGCGTCCTACCGATTGCGCCATGAAATTTTGGCTGTTATGTCCAGAGAAGGATTTTAGCGTCGAATGCACATGTTTTAATTGTCACATTAAAATCAAAGCTAAAATTATTAGATTTTATAATTATTGGACGACGCAAAGTTTTATACTCTTACCTTTTTCTAAGATATAAGGGAAAGGGGTTAGTCTTAGGGATAGGGCTTAAGTTGAAACTAATTTCTAATCAAGAAATTTGGAGTTGTAATGGGAATCGAATTTGAATTTAAATATATTTTGTATAACTATTCGGTTTACAAAAACATAAGCGTGATTTGACAGAAATCTATGTAGTTGAAATTCCTATCCCTGGAATGATCTGTAGGATTCGAATTTAGGTTTACAAATTTTGTTACTCACAATTCGGTCTGTTATTTTTAAATTATTCGATGTGTTTGTAGATCCCTGGGTAAATCCGTAATTTCCTCACCAGCAATCAGTCACGCTAAAGGCTATTATGGATACTTTTATGGAAACACTTTCTTCTACTCATTGATATTTTAATGAAATTTTGACAGCTGTATTTTCGGATTTTAAGAGTTTGTTTGAGACTGTCTACAACCCGTCATAATAAACAAATTCCTTATTTGTAAGAAAACTCACCACCCTCGGTTAAAGAAATTTCATTCCCGGATAATTTCAATTGTTCGTAACTTACTATTAATTCAGTACTATCCCGTGTAATCGAAGGAAGGATTGAAAAACCGGACCGATTAAATGTACTGTTTCCACCAGAATTGTTACTGCTCCGTCGCTGCTTCAAGACTGTTTAATTTTGGTTTTTCTGACATTTTTATATGAATTTTGAAGTCACTTGTCACATGGGCTCCAACAAGTCCATTTTTAATTGGTGGAAAATGTCGTATGACTTTTCCCACTCTTTTGATTTTTATGGGGAAGTAGTTCATTCGGTTTTTAGGGTCTTAATTGATCGGTTTTCAATCGTTCTTTCGCGCGCGAATCTTAGTATTGAGTAATTGGGGCATGCTGAGTATGCCATTTCATCACTTTTGAACTCGATTCTGGTGTCTTTGGAATTTTTAATTGAGTCCAGGTGATGAAATGCACTCAGTTTAATTCACAATTGTGGATTCGGTTCTTAATTGCCGGAAATTATAATATAACTTATAATTATAATCTTACATAAAATCTATTCTAGTCTTAAATTCCTAGTACAAAATTTTGGACATTACATAATACAATACGGATTTTTCCGGCCACTTTGCGAACTAATGCGCCGAGTGCTTTTTGCGAATGCTCAATGCTTTTCGCAAATAGAGTGCGTGCCCTCCGGAGGGGCTATTCACAGGTGTAATCGTGGTGTCATTCGCTAATATAATCAATTGTAATCCCAGTGAAATAATGTACTCATTGTAATCACATAATTACCATATTTGTAAGTTTTGGTCATCAAATGGTAATCATTCGTAATCACTGTAATCATTTGTAATCAGTGTAATATTTCGTAGTTGCTCCTAGTGAGACCGTGAATTTTAATTGTTTTTGAATTTTCGAGCGCGTCAGTTCTACCAACGGTAAATCTCAGAGATCCCTGGATCAATTTTTCTTGGAATCCCAGATGTTTATGGTTCAGAACCATGCATAGCCAATGCATTTTGCACAGAGCATTTGTCCGTAGAAAATTGATTCAACAGAGTTAAAATTTTTTCTTAGTTTGGAGAACCAACGACTGAATTATCTATGAATTATCTGCTGATAAGTTTCATTCTCCATCAATGGTAGATATTCAGTAAATCTATTTTGCTGATAGCACTTATAAATGCTCAAATTTTTAGATGGAGTGATGGAGACTACATTCCTCCGTTCTAATCCCCGCCCCTCCTTCCTCATTTCTTTGCAGTTTCTAATAATTTATTCCATCAATTCTAATAATTTATTCCATTTATTCCAAGAAGTTATACCATCGATTCATATTTAATAAGAAGCCATTTTTTGTGATTTTCATGATTACAGATTTTTGGTAATCACAGAATTTAATCGACGACATCATTTGTAATCATATAATCACATTCTGTGCTCTTGGTAATCACAGCTATCACATAGGCAATCGTAATCGATTACATTTTGTAATCGTGGTGTCACCCAATTCGTCTGTGAATAGCCCCTTGTGCCCTCCAGCTATCATCTGTTGCAGCTTTGAGAACTAAATGTATGATTTATGGTTCGCATGTGAATGCAGTCTCTTTTTCTATGTGCAGTTATAGAAACAGTAATAAGTGGTTGAAAATAGCACTATCAAAAACACTGTATTTATGTTTTACGGAGTAGCATGTATTTCACACAATTATTTTACAATCTTTCGAATTTCCAATTCATCGTGCAGAGAATGAATTTTACATTTACGACTATGAGTATAATTAATCGGTAAAAAAACAATGAAATTAACGAGTCACAGCGATGGATCAAGAATTTTCAAATGGAATTTTCAAAGCCTGTTCTTACTTCTAGTGTATGTTCTTCATTTGTACAAAAGATCGATTGAGTGGAATTCATTGCAACTTACGAAAAAACAACAAAAGAATAGCACTTCATTACAATGTTTCGTGGAAAATCACTTTGTGAGGGGTTTGTATACAAAGATCGTATGATAAGCAAATCACAACTCCACGAAAATTATATGAATTCGCCAAAGCACTATTACTCATAATGAATCACATACGAATTTCAAGAATATTAAATGCTAATACTCTCATAAGGTCTTAGAATTCTATAATTATTAAATTGGATTTTTTCTGCTGTATATTTAGAATCCAAGAAAAAACAGTTTTTGGCCTATTGAAACAACCTAGAATGCCGCGTAGGAAAACTCAGTAAGTCAGGAGAACATGGACTATATTCCGACAATTACAAATGTCTAAGAAGAGGAATGGAATAACAAAGTTGAAGAAAGACGCCAAAAATCATCCGGTATCCCCCCACTTTGCTCTTCTGTTCTCCATCTCACAATCAGCCATTTGGAATTGCCGAAATATGGTCCACTTTCTCCCGACTCCCTCAGTTTCCCTATATCTCATTGAGTTTTGGTTCTGAGTTTTTATTTTCCTCTTTTAACCCCTCACGTACGCGCTGAAATTGTTCTTACGGCCGAACAGTAGATATAAGGTAAATATTAGGTATTAATCCACACGCTGACAGGAAATAGTATCAAATCCATGGGAACAGTTGAAACTTGCATATTTTATGATTTTCGGTATGCTGAAACCGAATTTGTATCCAAGTGGGAATTAACCATTGGTTCAAGCTTGGTTCAAGGTTGGACCAACCACGGCTAATTCTTGGTTTGTAACACTAGTTCAAGCTTGGATGCTTAGCTTTGCCCAGGCTGGGACGCCAAACTCCGTCCAAGCTTGGCTACCAAATTCTACCCAAAGTTGGTCCCTGGTTGAATCTAGGTCAATACAAGCTTTATTATTTGGATATTTGTAGATAGGCAATGGTTCAACCTGGGGCCAAGCGCCATCGCTTATGATCAGCCGCTATTACCGTTGCCAGGAAAGAATGATCTTTGATCTGAGTGGTGGAAGATGCCGAGTCGGAGCTACGATCGAGAAATTGAGGGTACTCAGCCACGACCATTCTTTTGTGACGAGGACTATACTGTATTGCGGAAAAATACTCATAAAAAGTGACTCATTGGCTTTTACTTCATTATTTTCATGATGAGTTGTTGCTCAAATATTAATCCCTAATGCGATAATCGATTAAAAAGTCGAATTTGTGATCGGTAATTATTCAAACGAGTCTCGAACCCGGAATTACTACGCATACCATTACTAATTCTACGCCGTAACCACTAGACTACCGCCCACTTCTGTTGATTCATACTTCGTATTGTCCATAGACACTTTCCCGTAATATTTTTCTTCAGCACATGATTTTTTATGGCTCAACTATTTGAATAGGTAATTATAATAAACGATTCAATAGTGAATATCGGAAATAAGAATGCTAATGGATAAGAAAGATTGGAGCATAATGAGACTGGGAAATACATGTATCTTTCAATTTCTACTTATCAAAAAAATGAGAGTGGTTTTCCCTGAGAATGTATCTATAAGGAGATTTCGTAAATTATCGATTAGTCACTATACTGCTGCCGATCTTACAACACGAACTTGAAATTCTTCAATACTTCTAAGCTTGTATTTATGCTAAACACCAATGTTCTTCCCAGCTTGGTTGGATTCTCTGAGTTTAAGCTAGAATACTAATATTGAGCAAAGCTTGGTTGAAAACCAAAAATTGACTGATTTTCAAAAATCAAATTTCATTTTGTTCGATACTTTTCAAAAAACAATGTTCGTTTGAAACATTTTCTGATATCTATAAAAGTGGCGGTGCAAAATGCAGTCAAATATTAGGTGTATGACTTAATTCTCGGCCCCTAGATTAAGTTGATTAGCACACCTATTTGAATTGAAAAAATTTCCCGCAATAAAGGGCACTTTGAAGCGCCATCTGTGAGCTATCAAACCACTCAAGTACGATTGTGGTTCGATTAACACAACCTCAAAATAGTACATTAGAGTACAAGGGCACAAATTTCGTTTTTGACGAATGTGAAGTTTACAGTCCGAGCCGAAGGCGAGGACTGTATTTATATTCGTTGAAAACGAAGTTTATGCCGAGTGGTCTATACTATTTTATGCCACATCGTACAGAAGTCGAGTTTATCGCACGCTGCGCTCCGCGTGCCATAAAGCATAGTAAATAAAAATGTCATTCGACAAGCAGCACTTGAGGCACTCCCTTCTTTTCACCTTCCAACTTGGAAAAACTGCTGCAGAAGCACAAGAAATGATTTATTCGGCCTTGGGAGAGAGTGCTGTATCTTATAGCACATGAAAAAAGTTATTTGAAAAATTTCGCGATGGTAATTTTGATCTCCATGATGAAGAACGTCCTGGGCAACCAAAAAAAGTTGAGGAAGAGGAGTTGGACAATCTACTCAATGAAAAGCCCTGTCAAACACAATAGGAGCTTGCTAAAACTCTCTAAGTGATACAATCAGCTATTTCGAGGCGTTTAAAAGAAATTGGGAGGATACAGGAGGAAGGTCGTTGGGTGCCCCATCATCTTACCTCAGAAAACAAAAGTCGACGCTGTGAAGTTGCTATGTGCCTACTAACCAGATTCACACAAAAAGCCTTTTTACATAAAATTGTGACTGGGGATGAAATCCTAAGAGACGAAACCCGTGGGTTTATCCGGGGGAGCCGTCAACGAGTACTGCAAAACCGAACATTCACGGGAAAAAATTGTTGTTGTGTATTTGGTGGGATTCCAAAGGTGTAATCTATTATGAGATACTCGAACAGGGGGAAACCGTCACTACTAAGCGTTATCAAGACCAACTGGTGAAATTGCGTAATGCTATTGAGGAAAAGAGACCTTTTACTGATAGTGGGACGAGGCAAGTAATTTTGCTGCAGGACAACGCGCGGCCACATACAGCAAAAGAAACCCTGAAAGTTATCTCCACGTTGGGCTGGGAAACTCTCCCACGTGCGGTTTATTCTCCAGACCTTGCGCCTTCTGACTCTCACCTTTTTCGGGCGCTAGAACATCACCTGGTGGATACCCAGTTCCAATCTCCTGAAGAAGTACAGCAGAGCATTGAGGACTTCATCCAGTCAAAACCATCATCTTATTTTTAGCCGGAATCCGACAATTGCTCGATAGATGGGAGAAATGCGTGCAAAGTGACAGAGATTATTTTCAAGATCAGATCTGTATTCATTTTTTTATTAACAAATACCAATATGTCAAAAAAGACCGAGAGTTAAGTCATACACCTAATAATTAAATTGTTAATAACTATCAACTGCATAAGTTGTGATCCTGATTATTTCTTAGAATTAATTACCTGTAAGTAGGATCAATAAGGATGAAATAATGAGGGCAAATGAGGGATAAATTTAATAACTGAATATATTGCCAATTAAATTATATAATGATCGTCATTAGACTTTTGAATGGCTTTTAATCGGATCTAGGGAAGTGGGTAAGTCTAGGCTACTTGTTTACACGTGCAAAAGGTATGATTCTATGGAATTTCGGCGAAAAGGGGAGAAGCTAGTCGTGTCGAGGGAAAACAGTAAACATAATAATAATAAGGATCATTTCTAATCCACTTTAAGATTATTATGCGGGAAGAATAGAGAAAATGTGTGGCTCACCGTTGGGGTGATTCAATCAAGAGGGGACTAATTATGGGAAGGAAGGGAATGTAGCAGATACTCATGGTCACGGGTAATACGCCGAACTCCGCAAATTCCGTCAACGTCAGGGTCTCAAAAGCCTCCCTTCAGATTTCGCTCTTCCAGGGCAAGGTTCTACACGAAGTGGACCAACAACTTCCTCTTTTTGTGGTTATCCACAAAAAGAGAGTGATTTTCCCTGAGAATTTATTCCTCCGGTACACTCATGTGATCTGAACGATCTAATACTCGGGGCAGCTGTCGCACGAGTGAATCTCCTGCGTTTCTTCTCCTTTCGTATTCTCCTTTTTCCTCCCCTTCTTCACACCTTCCGGTTTTCGAGGGTGGTCTTACTTCTGGATGCTGCGGAGTCAGAGGAACGGCCTAGGGTAATGCAGGGGGGAAAGCTGTCATCCTTCTTAGTATCTCTGTTGATCCCTCCTCGGTGTGGGCGACTCTTGTCCAATTTTCGGAGCGATCGACTGTTTCCTTCGGTGGATCTCAGGTACGTGGTCATCTGTACTATGGATCTGCTCGGAGGGGGGGGGGGC